CCCACCCCCATCCCACCGACGGCCGTGCCCAGCCGGACGCTTGAGCGCCCCCACCTTCAAATGCACGAAGTCCTGCAGTTTCATAGAAGTTTTCCTCTACATTGTGGTTCTCAAATTTCATCAGGCCTGCAGATCACTGGAGGAGCTTGTTAAAGGCGGATTCTGGGGTTCTATGGCCACAGGGTTTTATTGGCGGGGTCCAAGGCGGGACTCAGTGTAATAGATTTTTAGGAAGACCTCAAAGGGCTTCTAAGGCAAGTGATGAAGACCAGACTCTCAAATACTCTGTTCTAGAACTAGCTCACAATGGCAAATGCCACATATTCTGGGCTGTGGTCGGGTGGTATGTACTAGGACTGGTGGTGAAAATATTGAAATACTAGGGTAAAAGTTGATAAACAGCTGCAGCCTCGGGTCCCTGAGTGCCACCTTCTGCCCCAACTACCCTCCCAGGACCTCCTGGACTCCTCCACAATTCAGACACCAGCGTTACTGCCTGGCACAGCAGAGGGTCTCTGAGACTCTGAACCTGCTGCTAAGGCCCAGTGTCTGCTCTGATTGGCCAGAGTCTTATCAGTTGCTAAGTATCTTCATTACACAAATGGATTGTACAGCAGGAGCCTACCCGCATTTCTTGGTTGACAACATCATTGGCATCATTAACCACTCTCTCCTACTGGCAGCATCTTCCACCCCTTTCCAGGTTTTCTCCTATCTGCTCCTCCTCCTTTGCTGTGTCCTTCCTTTGAGCACCTTTCCATGTTGGTCCCCTTCTCTTGTCCAGCCCTCCGTGATGACTTAAGTACCATGTAAATGTCAATGGTTGCCGAGTAGAGTCACGGCTCCTTGGAAGTGCAGGCATGTTTTATCATCCACTGACGTCTCCATAAGGATATCTAAGGAGCACCTCAAACTTCACAAAGACAAAACAGAGCCTCTGATTGCCTACACTCTCCCCAGCCTACGCCGTCTATGTAGATGGCCCTCTCTAAATTAATTTGCTCGAGCTAAAAGTCTAGGAGCTTATCCCTGATTCCTCTCTTTTCCTCATCACCCACATCCAATCCATCAGCAAGTTCTGCCCACCCATCCAGGACCCACCTACTTCTCCCCCCTCCACCACTACCACCTGAGTCCACTGCTGTCGTCCAGCTACTGTACCCACCCCCTTCTCTCACTCTTGCCCCCTTGCCATCCATTCTCTACCTGCTGGCAAATCAGTCTTATTAAAACATAATTAGATTGTTACTATCTTGCTTTAAACTCTCCAATGGCTTCCTCTTGTGTTTAGAATAAGACCCAAATTCCTTACCGTGGCATACAGAGCAATTGCCACCAATACCCCGATCTCACTTCACACCACTCTCCCTCTGGGCTACCACAGCCCAGACTCTCAGGCTTTCTTTTCCTTCCTTAGAACAATCTCAAGCTCATTCCTGCCTCAGGGCCTTTGCACTAGATGTGTTGTCTGCCTGGAATGCTATTTCCGCATAGCTAGTTTCTTTTTGTTCAGATCTTAGCTTAAACAGACCTTTCCTTTCCTGACTTCACAAACTAAAGTAGCTATCCAATTGCTCTTCATCACCCTATTTTGTTTCTCTGCATAGTGCTTCCCATTAGCAGATGTTTTAATTATTGACTTATTTGCTCAGGTGTGTATTGTCTGTCCGCCCAGCTGTCCCTAATGAGGGGGTTAGCCCCAGAGTGCTGAGCTTTGGGGAATTTGTGTCTGCCTTTTTTTTTTTTTAGTAGGTTTTCTGACGCATCCCTTTTTATTGAACACTGTCACTTTTTGCTTCCCTCTCTGCCGGCCACCGTACTGTTAACATGTTCTGAACTAGGAAAGCAAAAGGCACGCTCATTAGAATTGTGTACAAAGTAAACGTTAATAATTCTGAGCAAAGCAGAGACTCTAAAAATGAAGAGATGCCTGTGGGTTAGTGTGATGGTTCCTAGACGCTCACTTGTGGATTAGCTGCATCAGAACGACCTGGGGAACATCTGAACGGAACCCATTCCCGCCGCCCCCTCCTCGGAGGGCCTGTTTCAGTAGGGGTGGAGAGGGGGCTGAGAATCTCCATTTGGTAAAAAGCAGCCCAGGTGTCCTCACGCTTTGCCAGCTTGGTACCCACGGGCCCAGGACATCGACATATAGACCTGCCGGAGAGACCCATCCTGCCTGCCTCTGGGGCAGGGTTTCTCAATTTCACCACTACCATCATTTGGGAACAGATCATTCTTGGTTGTGAGAGGCCGCCCTGTGCATCCTAAATGTTTAGCAGCATCCCTGGCCTCCACCCTCTAGACCTTTCTTCCAGCTGTGACAACCAAAAATCTCCAGATGTTGTTAAATTTTCCCTTGGGGACCTGATTGCCCTTGGATGAGAACTGCTGCTTTAGGGTGTCAGCTGTGTTCCACGTAGCCCATAGGAGACCTCTATATTCGGTGGTCTAGAAGATTCAGTCACTCAGAATATGTGACAATACATGTGGCCACTCATCAGGCCAACTTGTGTCACGCTAAACGATTGCCTAAACTGCTAAGTGGATATGTGCTGGCTAATTGTGGACACAGAAATCAAGAGCAGCTTTGAACTAATCAAAAAGAGATATCCGGGTCAAAGCTTATTTGAAGGCTGCCATGTTTTAAAACTCGACATGACTCAAAACAGAATCCTATAAGTTCCTTTGCTAAAATACTTTCAGGATATATTAGGTATAACAATAGTTTGCTACATGAAAATGGCTTTGAAAATCTTAAAAGTGTTTTAAAAGAAAAGGGACTCTTTTTTTTTTTTGCGAGGCATTAAATTGGATGTGAGTATGACAGATTTCAAAGACTGTCAAAATAACGAATTTACATCATAAATGCATCGGCTTTCTTTTTAAAGGCTTTTCCACCACTCAGGAAGGCATTTAATGGTGAGCAGGTTCAAAATGTCGCCAACTCCCACTGGTACAAAAAGGGAGGCGATCTTCCTAGAGTCTCCAGGCTTCAGATAATGTCTCTGCCTCTTTTCAAGTTAATAAACTGCACTCCTGTCAAATTGCAGATAAATGAAAGAGACGGCACCATTGTTTTCCCCCACATCTTGCTAAGAAAGATATCTCCCAATATTTCGGGAGGACCAGTATGCCAAAAAATAAACTTGAAATGAATCCACCCCGCCGTGACTTTACGGGATCAAAGACAATGCAATTTCCACAGAAGCACTTTTCTGAAGTTTGCTGTGCTTTCGTTCAGATAGCGGCTCATTAAGAAGCTTCTAATGCATGTGATTGTTTCAAAGTTAGCCATCTAAATTTTTAATCATGTGTGGGTGCAAGATAGTCATAGGGTTGTACCCAAACACCGCAAAGCCTTTATATTCTAAAGAGTCATGTCAATATAATATTTTCCTGAATAATCAGCAGGTAGGCTTAGGGAGGAGGGGACTTCAAACAGCTCGGCTCTTTGATGGAGGGGTGGACAGGCTTCTGAAGTTGCCTTTTGAAAGAGAAATAAGTCTGAGCATTTTGAAATCTGGATTCCTTTCTATTTTGAGGGAGTGAGGCTGCCGCTCTCTTTTCTCCTCTCTTTTCCTTTCTTTCAGCAGAGACAGAACTCCTATTAATAATGGAGAGGAAAATGGGTCTTCATGGGGAGCCCAGCCTCTCCACCGGGACCTCTGGGACAAGGAGCACACTCATTTATTCAGCATACTTGGGTTGAATTTCTTCCAGTACTAACCACAGATCAGTTGTTGTTGTTCCCTCCTCTTTGGGGACAGTCTGTTTTTCTTTCTCAAGAGCTTACTATTTGATTGGGAGCGTGGAAGGGCATGGGAGCTGGCTACACGCAGTTCTGGAGCTCTCATGCGGTCCCCGCAGCTCCTTCCTGCTGGTGGGCGTGGGAGTTGTACTTACTACGGGCAAAAGATGAAGGAGAGAGGGGGCTTGGAGAGACCTCGATGTAACCATCCTGCAGAAGACAAGGCACAGCTCACCTGGATTGGAAGGATCTTGGGAGGCTGTGAGATCCACCCCTCGGCCTTGAGATAGTTTTTAATCCAGTCTGCATTTATCGAGCGTTTACTCTGTGCCGGTCTCTGTTCTAAGTGCTTTACTTGGATTAGCACATTTAATTGTCACAACAACCCCGTGTGGCAGGTCCTTTTATCATCCTCATTCTACAGGTGAAGGAGCTGAGGCACGGCCCTAGTGAGTGGCAGAGCCAGGATTTGAAACTGGGCCCTCAGGTTCCAGAGCCCACGCCATAAGCATGTTCTTTGTAGCACTATTTATAAGAGTGAAAATTTTGAAATGACCAGATATCCAAAAAATAGAATATCGTTTAAATGATTTATAGCTGATCCACACCAAAGAACGCTCTATCTTAAACATGTTACGGCTGTTACACATGACGTGTGAAACAATAATTAATGACATAGAACACAATTCATACTATGTAATTAACATAAGAAAGCGACATACAAAGTACTATCTATCTAAAATAAGATTTCGTGTTTTGTTAAATAAAAAGAAACCTTCACAGAGAATGAAGGGTGTGGAGACTGCATTAGCCTGCGTGGGCTGCCATAACAGAATGTTAGGAGACTGGTGGCTTAAACCACAGAGATTTATTTTCTCACAGTTCTGGAAGCTTGGAAGCCCAGGATTAGGGTGCCAGCTGATTAGGTTCCTGGTGAGGACTCTCTTCCTGGCTTGCAGACAGCCACTTTTTCGCTGTGTCCTCATGTGGTCTTTCCTCAGTATGTGAAGAGAGAGAGATAGAGGGATCCTCTTCTAATAAGGCCACCAATCCTATCTGATTAGGATCCCACTCTATGACTTCTATTAACCTTAATTACCTCCTAAAAGCCCCATCTCCAAATATAGTCACATTGGGGCTGCAGCATATGAATGGGGGTTTGGGGGGTGCAGATGCAATTCAGTCCACAGCAGAGACCAAAATGTTAACAGTAATTATATCCAAGTGATGATGATAGAAGTCATTTTTAGATCCTTTATTTTCAAAACTTTTTACAATAAACAATTTATTTGGTGTAATAAGAAAGAAAAAGTGTTTACAAACTTCAGGTCCAAGATGAATTTAATCCATTCTATACAGATGAGTCCTACAGGCCTCCCCTCCAGCCAACCTGCTGGCCCCGTCTCTCTATGTCAGGGGTCATGTTATGGTGACACCCAGCCCGTCTCTCTCCGCCCTGGAGCAGCCTGAGAAGGGCCCAGTTCGAGCGTCTCCCATGCTGCCTCCTGTGCGGGCCCGCGTGTGTGGCTGGCATTGTGGGCCCGGGCAGAACCTGGCAGCAGCTGCGCGGTGGCGGGGACCTTGGTAGACGGCGTCCTTTCCGCAGCCGTGTTACTTAGAAGCAGAACCAAAGCATATTAGGTAAGTGGTAACATGAGAAACAAAGCCGAGAGCAAATGTTTGGGGCTTTGTTCTGAAGGACGCCGATGGCTCCACAGCGTGAATGTCTGCGAGGAGAAATTCACCAGACTGGAACAGCCCGAGCTTTGGGGCCAAACCGCGAGGTGTGATTGCCACGCGGGAGGCCCTAGATGGGGAGACCTCACTTACCACTCAGTCTCCACTGCCCTCAAGCAGAGAAGTCGGGGGTAGCGCTACCCTGCCAACCTAACACAGTCATCAGGTCCAAGTCTCTTAAAGGGTTTCTTCCCCAAAGTTTCATTTCTTTCTGCTGTCAGGCCTGCAGACTTGGACTAATTTTCACAAATGAACAGGAAATGCAAAAGCAAACTCTGGTATGTGCCACTCATTGTCACCCTAGTGCAAATCACGACCTAAGTCAGGGGACCTGCATGCCAGCTCTCGTCTGCCGGCAACTGCAGGTGCAACTTCAGGCCATTTGAGTCAACTTTCAAATGGGAATAAAAATTTGTGCCCTGCCTACTTTAAGGGATTATTTTGAATGCGGTGTCTCTCTTGCTCACCACCGTATCCCTTGTGGCTTGTGCAGTGCCTGGCAACAGGATAAATTTGGGGGAAAAGAATCCGTGGTGATTCGGGACTCGGAACTGCTTGGCCTGAGAGATGGCCAAGTCACTGTGTGGGTAGCAGGGCAGGAGCGAACTCTCTCAGCCCAGCCAGGGGTCCTGAAGGGTGGACGAGCATGAGAGCGGAGAAGCACCCGTGAATGCTTAGCGGGGACGTTCGGGGCCAGAAGACCCCTCACATCTTAAACTTTCTAGCAAATGGTGAGTGCTTAACAAATATATTCGGAGTGACTGAATAAAGAAAAATATGAGCTAATATCTCTGAAAGTGGTTTTCAAAGTATAAGGAATCTTACACTTTCTGGCAGAGACTGACTAGCTGCTTACTAACTCTTTTCTCCCTGGGCCCACAGCTAGACAACATTTCCCAGATTCTTTTGTAGGTGCGGCAATGCAGAAGCAATGAGCACCAAGCATGGCCATCCAAACATCTAGGAAGCCAGGTGTTGAACACAGCATAGCCATAAAACGGAAGGAGATTGGGTCCCTGAATCAGAGGAAAGCCTGTCCGCAATTAGGCAAACCTGTTTCAACTTTATGTAGGTGAGTAATAAACATCCATTTTGCTTGAGCCATTGTACATCTTGGGGGTTATTTAGCATCTGGTGATATCTTAAGTAATACACAGTCTCTGGTATAATTCATTTCATTGATCTGGGACACTGCTGGAGACCATGTGATGTTGGGGAGAGAGCCCAGGTGCACAGTTCTGGAGTCTTGTACACAATTCCACAGCAATGGCTGTAACAGAAACAAGCTTCAAGAGAGTTGGAAGCTCATAGAAATGCAGTTCTGACAGTGCCATTTCAAATGGTCCCAATGAGGAAGCAAAGCCAAGTATGCCTGAAGAGATGAGCTGCAAAGGGGATGTTGAGAGAGCGGAGATTTTAAAAGGACACATACAACCAAAGATGGAAAGAAGTTCACAAGGTCTAAGATGCTGAAGTAGCCTAGAATTCAAATAGTGTCCACCAGCTGAGACTTCTGAAAAATGCCTAGGATGACCATCTTAGTTAGAACAAGGCTAGCCCCTGAAACCAACACGTCAGTGGCATAACATAGTTAACTCTAGTTTCTCACTCGTGTAAAGTTTGAGGGTGTCCTGATCGGCAGGCAGCCTCCTACATGATCATGCAGGGATCCATGCTCCTTCCGCCTGTGTCTCCATGCTCCGCCGGGGTCTCTGAGCCCTCTGCCGTCAGCTGGTGGAGGTGGGGAAGTGGAGGTGAGGAAGACCACCTACATTCTAAGGTCTTTAGCCCAGAATTGATGTTTGTCACTTCTTTCACGTTCCATTGGAAAGAACTAGTCACACAGCACCATCTTGATGCAAAGAGGGCAGGAAATGCAGTCCCTGGCAAGGCAGCCCTGCTCAGCTACAACCGTGCACTACGCCAGGGAAAGCATAGATCGTTGGTGGACATCCAGCTGTCTCTCCAACCATATAAAGGGCTTTTGTTTTTTTAAGTGATAGTTAAGAAGATGATCAAGAAATGGGTAGACCTGCTTTTTGAGGCTAATGGTACAGTACTTATGATGGGAAAGGCAATGAAGCGCCTCGTCTCCTCTTGCTTCTCTGTCTGGGAAGAGAACAGTCAGACTGAATAGGGTAAAACGGACATTGGTGAAAGGCACTGGAGCCCTGCCTGGAACACTTACTGACTCCAGATGGGTTGAATCTGGCCTGGACGGTTCTACTCCAGAGATCACAAGGGGACTTGTGAAAATGATGCCAAACACGGAGAGCAGTGAAAGTGCCTGAAAAGTAAGATGGCTGAAATGCACTCCCCGTTGTCATAAAGGAGAAGGTGGAGTGCTGAGGGGTTAGCTGGGGTGCAGTTGTCTGGGTCTCCTAAAAGATCAGGTGAGAAGAAGACTAAGCTAAGTAGGATTAAGATCAGGAATAGAAGTGCTAGGATATCTTTAGTTGTGTAGCATGGGTGAAATGGGATTGTGTCTATGTCAGGTGAGAGACCAGATGGGTTGTTGGATCCTATTTCATGGAGGAGTAATAGGTGAACAATTTCTGAGGCTGAGATGGTGAGTGGGGGGATGGAGTGGAAGGCGAGGAATCCAGTGAGGGTGGTTTTGTATGCTTGCTTGGTGGATTGATCACCAATTCCAGGTTAAGTCCTAAAAAGTCCTAAAAACAATGTTTTAAGGGATGGTTTGTATGCTCTGAGAAAGGTAAATAGTGATGGTTAAGAGAATAGCTGGCCCGGTGGCGCAGTGGATAAGACGCATGTTCCCCTTTGGCAGCCCGGGGTCCGCCATTCGGATGCTAGGTGCAGACCTACTCACAGCTTGGCAAGCCACACTGTGGTAGGCATCCCACATATAAAGTAGAGGGAGATGGGCATGGATGTTAGCTCAGGGCCAGTCTTCCTCAGCAAAAAGAGGAGGATTGGCGGCAGATGTTAGCTCAGGGTTAATCTTCCTAAAAAAAAAAAAAATGAGTCAGAATAGTTTCCCAAGACCAAGACAGGCCAAGCTAATCTGGATTTCATCTTCCAAAGTCCTCCTAATCTAACAAATGAAGGAGATGCTGCAGTCAACCCTGATAACTGAGTTTTATGTAGCATTCGGCAAAATCTCTCATAAAATCCAAGGGAAACTATATGGCCTAGGAGATGGTGCCATTAGGTGGATTTACAAGTAGTTGACAGATCATACTCAAAGGCTGCTGATAGTAGGGAGTAGGGGCTGCTAAGTCAATGCCTTTGGGAGCGAGACAGGCATCATCCATGAGCAGGAGTGGCCGGTGCTCGATAATAGGGGGTGACGGGGACAGAGACAAAATGGAGAGCTCATGTCTTGTCTAATGACTGCGGTCACTATACACATCCAGTGGGATGTGCAGTCCACAGCCTACACAACCACACACAGCTACTTTGGCCACGCCAGCTGGTTGTTACCATGTTGGATTGCAGACCTTGTGTTGAAACATCTTCAATCTTTCCAGGAGAAGCTAGAAATCCAGACGTTGGCCACTGGTTCAAAGTTAAAAAAAGTAAAATGCTATGCAGGCCAAACAAAACACATCTGCAGGCTGCCTTTGGCAACTGGACCATCAGTGTGTGACCTCCACCCCTCAAAAAATTCCTAGTAGCACAAGGCTGTGTCATTGGTCTGATTCTATTCAACATTTTTATCAATGATTTGGACCAAGCTCTAGAAAGCATGAGGATCAAGTTGGCTGTTGACTCAAAGCCAGAGGGACAGCTGGACGACTGACTTGGGATTCTGAATCACCTCTGCAGACTAGGACAGGGCCCGAACCGCACAAGGAGGAGCTTTTGGATAGACAAATGTAAGATCATGCACTTGGGTCCAAAAAAATCTGCTGTACAAGTACAGAATGGCTTAACAAGAGCACATGTTAAGAAAAAAATGCCGTAGAGTTTTAGTTGCGTGCAAATCAAGAGGAGGCAATGGTGTGATATGGTTGCCAAAAGCAAAGGCAATCTTAGACTGCATCAAAAGAAGCAAATCCTGTACAGCTCAGGCCAACTGCATCTGGAGCTCCACCTTCAGTTCTGGGAAACACTCGAGGAGGAGCGTGAAGAAATTAGAGCCCATTTGGAGGATGCCAACCATGATGGTGAAAGAATTGGAAACTATTCAAATGAAGAATGGCCAAAGATGTTAGGACTACTTTGCTTAGAGAAGCGAAGCCTCAGAGATACATAGATGCTGGGTTCCAACATTTGGGGGGTAGTCATGTGGATGGAGAATTAGACTAGTTCCTTGTGTCTAGACTAATGCCAAGGCAGAAATGGTTCCGGGAGCCAGAATTCAGTTCAACATTCAAACACCTCTCAAATACAGCTCTGGTGAGGTGAAGGACAGCCTAGAAAGGAAATTAGCCCCCACTCCACCCCTAAAGATGGAAATGTGGAAGAAGAAGGTAGGAAACCTCTGGGCAGGATAGAGTAGAGGGAATTTGACCATTAAGTGGCTGGCCATCAGAACAGTGATGGGCACAGCTGAGAGGGAATGCAGACAGAGCCCAGGTGGGATGGAGGGTTTTCCCAGCTACTGCTGAAAATAAACAGCCACACAAAACACTTCTGACAAACAGAGCTGGCATGGGATAGCATGTCAAAGAGACTTATTGCAGTGGTGGGGGGAGCAATGACAGTAGGGATTTAGGAGAAATCTAAGAATCAGAGTCATCAGAAGCCACAGTCTCAGAAGGATAGATCCTTGTACGTCGTGTTGGTTGAAGATGGTGCATTAGTCCTGCAGGGAGATATGGGGACTGAGTGTTAAGCTGAATTTTTAGTAAGTGTTGTGAAAATGCTGCGTCCCCTTTTGGTGGGTATTGTGCGTCACCAACTGAGTCACAGTTCTAGAGCGAAGGCTCCTTGAATTCTTAGGGCAGAAGATGAACTAGTTCAACCTCTCTGTTAAACAAATTAGGAAACTGACCCTCACTAAGAGGAAGTGACTTGTCTAGAGTCTTATAACTGGTAAATGACGAATCGGAACTTGAATCAGGTCTCCTGACCCAAGCTGTTTCCGTGATTGTCATACTAAGTTGGATCCTCCACAGAAAACTTGACCTCAGAATCCTTTATCCTCAGAATCGCTTCCATTTTGGTGGCTTAAAAAAAATGAAGTCATCTCGGGGCCGGTCCCATGGCCGAGTGGTTAAGTTCACACGCTCTGCTTTGCCGGCCCAGGGTTTTACCGGTTTGGATCCTGGTTGTGGACATGGCACTGCTCATCAAGCCATGCTGAGGTGGCGTCCCACATGGCACAACCAGAAGGACAACTAGAATATTCAGTTATGTACTGGGGGGCTTTGGGGAGAAGAAGGAAAAAGAAAAGATTGGTAACAGATATTAGCTCAGGTGCCAATTAAAAAAAATTAAAGAAAAAAGAAATGGACTGGATAGTAATTATAATGGTCTCCAGACACGGAGCCCTCAAGAGCCTGAGAGATGAGTCTTGACATACTGATTGGTTTCCATTTATTTTCCCCTCAGGTAGGTTGGTTCAGACATTCATATTTCATCATATTCATTCTACGCCATAGATGTCTCTGATCTGTGGTTCCTATGACATCTTCTTGCCAATTGCAGGTCCACTAGGGTCCCTGGGGGGAAACTGGAGCCTTCTCAGTCCATCTGTGGAGGCCAGTTCCCAAATCCCCTTCACATCCCTTCCTCTTCTCTGAAGTCTAGCTGGCATGATGAGGCAGGAGCAGGCTGCCAAGGCCCACCCCCCAGCCTGTGCCTGAACACAGTCCACTGGTACAGACTACCTGAGCTCATCACTGCGCCAATCACATCCCTTGATCTCCTCAGAAACACTGCTGAGCTGCCTACTGAATGAGAAACATAGAGGGGGACATCCTGCCTGGATAGGCTGGCTCCATATGGAGGTACCATCACAGGTCAACAATTCCCCTCAGCCTCCCACCACCAGTGGCCAGAAAGGGTGATGGAGCAATGCCCCACTGGAGATTCCATATGCCACCAGACCAAGATCCACTAAGTAGAACGCTTCTCTTGGAGTCTTGGAGGTTTGGCTGTTCTGCTGAGGCGAGGCTTCCTGGAACAGACCTGAAGTGGCATCTACAGGGTCCTTCTCCTAGCACATCAGCAGAGAACTGCTTCCCTCCACTGCCTTCCCCTTCTGTCTCACTGCTGCTCAGAGCTTTCACACTTTGACAGTTGCGATTTTCTCAACAAGTTCTTAAGAGAAGAACTATGTCCACTCCAAGTTCTGGAATCTATGAAACCTGTTCCTTTTCCAGAACAGGTTCGCTCTGCATTCTGGGTTCTTGGGGATACCAGGCAAGCCTAACCGAAAACACAAAGCATGAGGGATCAACTGTCTTCCAGTGACTGAAGGAAATGTACGTTTCATGGTTGCCGGAGGAGGAAGAGAATCGCTGGAGCTCAGAGCCGTTCCCTACACTCCTGTACATCTAAGCCTTTGCTACTAAGCATTACAAGCACCTCCCAGAGCAAGGAGTGAGATGGCCTCTGGGTGAGGCAGGGAAGCTGAGCAACCACCTGCTCCTCTGTCGCGTCATATCATTTCATACCAGTTATCTTGTGGTGGAAGAAAATGCACCTTCCATTAAGAACAGACTTACTGCAGCCCATGGTCCTGAACCTTCGTTCTACACATCGGGAACAGCCTTGGTTAGCAATGCAGGGATGCCAGCTCTCAGTGAGCAGAGGGTATCTCCAGGCTGAGACCAATCCCCTTTGGCCACACCTTTAAGGCAACCTTTAACTAGAGCTTGAGTGTCATTTCAACTGGGTACATCCACGCCACAGTCATTTTCCTGGGTGCAAGACTTCTCATTTGATTTCTATCCTTAGCACTTGGCCTGGCTCATCACTCTGTGACAGCCAGCCTCCAAGATGGTCCTCAAATATCCTCATCTTCTGGTAATCACAGCCTTGTGCAGTTCCCTCCCACGCCACATAGAGCTGGCCTCATAGGCCTGACCCACTACAGAAATGACAGAAAATGTGGCTACTCAGGCTAGGTCATAAAAAGTATCACCACATTTCCTCTCTCTCTTAAATCTCTCGCTCTAGGGGAAGCCAGACACATTCTATGACTATACTCAAGCAGTCCTATGGAGAGGTACATGGCAAGGAACAGGGGCCTCCTGCCCACGTGTGAGTGACTGAGCCACTTGGAACCAGATCCTCCAGATCCAGTCGAGCCTTCAGGTGAATGTAGCCCCAGCTAACCTCTTGACTGCAACCTCACAAGAGACCCTGATCCAGGACCACCCAGCCAAGCTGCTCCTAAATTCCTGGCCCACAGAAATTATAAGAAATAATAAACATTGATTGCCATTTAAGCTGCTAAATTTTGGGGTAATTTGTTACACAGCAATAAACACCTGGTACATACTCCATAAATGCTTGGTGAATGAATGAGTGAGTGACTAGTGAATGAATAAATCTGGTAATTCCTGTACATGACCCACGTGTCATTGCCACTCGCTTCTGTCAAACAGAGGCAAAATGGCCACATCCTATCGCAAAAATGACTCAATCTCAATCAATGCAGGAGGAAGGAGCTGACAGCCTAACGTGGTTCCCACCCTACCAGAAGAAAATCAGTTCCCACCAAACGCCGTCAGGTAAGATGCTTTAGTCCTCAAAGATCACCCTGCATGCTTGAAACCCGTTCTGGCACACCTCTGCTCCCTGGCACAGCCTCTTTACCCCGGCCTGGAGGTCCTGCCCTATTCCGCCTCCTGATAACTTCCACTCATATCTCAGAAGATGAGAAGACAAAAACAAAAAATTCCCTGAGTGAACATATGGTTCCCTGTGGGTCTTCAGGGACCTGTGGATCCCAGCTCAAGAAACCCAGAACAATGGAACGGGCACATGGTGGAATATTATACAGTCAGTTAAAGGGCTGTTGTAGAAGAGCAATTCATGGCCAGGAAACAGGTTTATAATACACTGTTAATGAAACAAAGCAAAACGGCTTAGAAACAGCAAGCACACTTGAGCAAATATGTATTATTTATTATTAGTTATTAATATGTGTTACATAGCTATATGTATAAACATATGAATAATAAAATACATTCCCATGTAACTTACATATAAACAGATGGAGAGAGAGAGAGAAGAGAATATGCATAAAATGCTGATAGTTCTTCTCTTTGGGTGGGGCGTCATGAGTAATTTTTAATTTGATTTTCAATGTTCCATATTATTCAGATTTCTACTTTGAACATGTATGCATTGCTTATAATCAGAAACAAATGAGATTCTTTTTTTCAAAATTTGGAGAAGAGAGGGCACACGTGGCTTGGGGCTGACTTCTCCAGCTTGACGAGAGACCCTACTTGTGGGGACTGGGAGAGCAAAGGGACACCAGCGCCCACAGGTCCTTGGGGATCTCCAGCAGCCACAGGGCAAGGCTGGACCGGGAGCTCCGGCCTGGGCAGGCTCCCACCAGCGTGAGGAGCCGGGAGGGGCCAAGGGCCACCATCTGGGCTGGAAGGTCAGCATCTTTTCCTTGCAACCCAGCAGGAGTGGGATGAAGGCGTTGTTGGGAGAGCAGGAATAAAGAGCAGGGACAAGAAAGTAGGTCGCCAGGAAATCGAGGAAATAAACAAAGGGTTCCTGTGAAGGAGAGGCTCGCTTTGATCCTGGGGTGGGAATGGGAAGGACTGACTCTGGGAAGAATGACCAAGCTTCTGCCACATCCTCAGCCCACTGCAGGCTGACACAGTCAGAGTCTTAGAACAGCCCAGATGGACAGGGGAAAGGGCCCAGGAGTCAACTCATCAGCCTCCTCCCAACTCCCACTTCTCCCTGCGACACACCACAGCTCTGGAGTGGGCCCCAGCTACACCATTCCTACTGCCCGTGGCTGGACACACTCAGCTCTTAGTGGTGCCCCCACCTCACACCCCAGCTTTGCACAGGCCGATATCCTCTGCCCAGATCACTCTTTTCCCTGGGCTTTGCCTGATGAACCACTTTCCTTTAAGAGTTAGTTCTGCTCTCCATTATCCAGAGCAGAATTCTATATGTTTCCTTTGTTCGTTCGTTCCTTCCTTCTTCCCTCCCTCTCTCTCTGTCTCTTTCTTTCTTTTCTTTCTTATTAATTTTTCAAAATTGTGGCAAAATTAGCATAACATAAAATTTACCATCTTAACTGTTTTGTTTTTGGTAAGAAAGAGTGGCCCTGAGCTAACATTGGTTGCCAATCTTCCTCTTTTTGTTTGAGGAAGATTGCTGCTGAGCTAACGTCTGTGCCAATCTTCCTCTATTTTGTTTGTGGGACACCACCACAGCGTGGCTTGATGAGCAGTGTGTAGGTCTATACCTGGAATCGGAACCCACGAACCCGGGCCACCAAAGCAGAGTGCGTGAAGTTAACAACTACGCCACCGGGCCAGCCCCTCCATTTTAACCATTTTTAAGTGTACAATCAGTGGTATTAAGTACATTCACAGTATTTTGCAACCATCACCACAATCTATATCCAAAACTCTTCTCATCTTGGAAAACTGAAATTCTGTCCCCACTAAATGCTGACTCCTCTTTCCCCCTCCCCTCAGCCTCTGGCAACCGACATTCTACTTTCTGTCTCTATGAATCTGACTACTTTAGGGACTTCCTATAAATGGAATCATACTGTGTCTGTCTTTTTGTGTCTGGCTTATTTCACTTAGCACGATGTCTTCAAGGTTCATCCACATCGTGGCATGTGTTAGAATTTCCTTCCTTTTTAAGGCCGAATAACATTCCATTGTATGTATGTACCACATTTTATTTATCCATTCATCCGTCCACGGGCATTTGGGTCGCTTCCACCTTTTAGCTATTGTGAATAGTGCTGCTATGAACATAGGTGTACAACTGTGTTACATTTTGACTGCAACAAATCTGACCTTGCAGTTTGCTGACACCCAGCATCCACCGTTAGCTTTATTATTGGCTTTATTAGTTCTGTACTTTCTCCTATTTTTCATACTGGCTGCCTTTCCACAAGAGGCCTTTGGAAACCTCCTTGTCTCTTGTCCAAGAGAAGTTTCAAGAAAGAGTCATTCTTAGACTTGTACCTTGCATCAATCCAAAATATACATCACATTGCGGATGTGATTAAGTTAAGAATCTGGAGATGGGGAGATTCTCCTGCGTTATCTGGTGGGCCCTAAATGCGATCACAGGGTTTTTATAAGAGGGAAGTGGGAGGGTCAGAATCAGACAAAGGGATGTGATGACAGAAGCAGAGGTCCAAGTGGTGTGAGAAAGGGGCCAAGGAATGCAGGTGGTCTCTAGATGCTGGAAGAGATAAGAAAATGGATCCTCCTATAGAACCTTCAGAAGGAGCACAGACCTGCTGACACCTTGATTTTAGGACTTCTGACCTCCAGAACTGTAAGATAACAAATTTGTTTGTTTTAAGCCATTACACTTGTGGTAATTTGTTACACAGCAGCAGGAAACTAATACACTCACTATATGCCAAGCTTGTTCTAAGTACACCATATTTTTTCTTTTAATGTCTCACCACCCCAGGAGATAAGTGGCATCTTTGTCCCTATTAGATAGATAGGAAATGGAAGCAGGGAAGTTAGGCAACTTACCCAAAGTTTCCCGATTATTGTTTTAACCAACCAGAATCTGCTCCTGCTACTTTTGGTAAAACACTCTAATTTCTTTGAGGCAGATTATATCTCTCCATCGCAGATACTCTCAGTGACATCAAGGTGTGGTCATGTGACATAAACCAGGCCAATCTCAGGATGTGACTCTTGAGCCCAGTGGCCTAAGGACAGTGTGGTTGGAGCAAATACATTTCAGCAGAGGCGTTTTCATAGGCGTGCCTGCTGCTTCCTGTCCACCAGCCCCTAATCCCACTGTGGGATGACTTGTCCATTTTCCAAGCCAGAGACAGTTTCTGTTGCTATGTACAAGGAGGCTTGCATCAAGACACATCCTCCGTCTGGGATGTAGTCAACAGCAAGAGTGAGGTGTTGTAGATTATACCCTGGATTCCAAAGCTCCTGTCACAGGCAAACACAGCAGATTTGGAGGGTGGTACCCACTCCATGGTTCTGCTTCCCTTGCCTCAGCACATATGGCCAAGATTGACCACGTGGTAATACACACACTTCCTCATGCCCTTGACCAAACAGGCTGGCCTTAAAGACAAGCCTCCAAACTTGCTCCAATCCAGCCTCCAGCAGAAGCCTCCCAGCTGCCAAAATTGCAGACCCCTTTTTCCTAAGAGCTGTCCTCATTGCCCTCACCATCCTGTATTGTAATGATGTCATTTACCTGTCTGTCTTCCCCAGTGGTCTCCTGAGACCTTTCTTATTCTTTTTATGTGCCCAGTGCCCAACAGAGTACCCAGTACAAAATTCAGGCTCCCTACATTGTAAGTGAGGGAGTGAACAACTCCAGGAAAGGGATAAACTGCTTGCCTAGCTATAACTGATTTTCACCCCACCCCAAAACCTCAGGACTGCCTGGCTTTGCTTGGTGTTCAGAGCAGCTTGCCCCAGGGCGTCCAGGTCACTCTGACACCTGGGCATTTTTCCCATGCTGGGCGGAGCTGCAAGCAGGGGCAAACCACTGCTGGTGGCTAAGTGTTCCTAGTGTCCTCTTGCCTGTATGTCTATCATGCACAGAAATCTATTATTTTAATTTGCACCCAGATCTCCTGTTCCCCTAACACACCTTGCGATGATTAATTTTATGTGTCAACTTGATTATCTGGGCTAGGGGATGTCCACATAGCTGGTAAAACATTATTTCTGGTGGTGTCTGCGATGGTGCCTCTGGAAGAGATTACATTTGAATCTGACTGAGTAAAGAAGATTGGCCTTACCATTGAGGGTTGGTATCATCCAATCCATTAAACGTTCAAATGGAACAAAAAAGTGGAAAAAGTGATGCACTCTATGCTTGACCTGGGAAATCCAACTTCTCCTGCCCCTGGACATTGGTGTTCCCGGTTCTTAAGCTTTCAGAATCAGACCAGGACTTACATCATTGGCCTCCCGATTCTCAGGTCTTCAGACTAGGATTATATTACTCTCTGGTCTTCCTGGGTCTCCAGCTTGCTAATGGTAGATTATGGCACTTCTCAGTCTCCGTAACTGTGGGAGCCAGTTCCTATAATAAATCTCCTCCTGTATAGCTTTCTCTGTATAGCCTATTAGCTCTGTTTCTCTGGAGAACCCTGACTAATACACACCTATATCCCAAAGATGTATCCATTAGATCCAGAAGGCTGGCAAGATGTTGGCCTTAAATGCATAGCATTATAACCATTTTTAAGAAGGAAATCAGAAAACAAAGCAAC